CTGCTTCTGAATGCAGACAAAACAGAAGTTATAGTCTTTGGACCAGAGTCTCTGAAAAAGAAGCTGATTAGTCGTAGTAGTTAAAAGCCTTCAGCTGATCCAAAATGCTGCAGCCAGAGTTCTGATGAAAATGAAAAAGAGAGATCATATCTCTCCTATCCTGGCTTCTCTTCATTGGCTTCCTGGTAAATCTAGAATATGACTTAAAATCCTTATTCTATTAAAAGGGAGTTTTTCCTCTCCACTGTCGCTACAAGCATGCTTATTGTGAGGGATTGCATTCGAGTCAATGAGTCGATGCTACCAACTGGTTTTCCTTAGATAGAAAACGTTGAATCAATTTGACTGTGTGATCTGGTTGAACTGCAAAGTGCCTTGAGATGACATGTGTTGTAAATTGGCGCTATATAAATAAACTGAATTGAATTGCTATTTTATTCTATTTTGGTCGTGGGCAAGACACTGTCTGGATGGAGTAAAGAGTGGGTAACAGTAGAGAATCTGCAGAAATGTCTGTTAAACTAGGACTCTGGTTCCTGGTCTGCACCCTGGGTCGTCAGGGTTTTGGAGGACTGATAAATTCGGCCAGATTCCTAGAAAGAAGAGCTGCACCATCCAAAGTGGGATGGAGGCTGTCTATCCGAATCAGACCAGGCTTTCCCCAAAAGGATTGCCAATTATTAATGTAACCCACGTTGTTTTCAGGACACCACCTAGACAACCAGCGGTTGAATGACGACATGCAGCTAAACATGTCATCACTGGTCAGATCAGGGAGGGGGTCAGAGAAAATTACAGAGTCCGACATTGTTTTGGCAAACTTATACACCGAAGCAACACTAATTTTAGTGACCTCCGATTGGCGTAACCAGGTGTCATTACCGCCAGCGTGAATAACAATCTTACGGCATTTAACCTTATCCTTAGCCAGCGGTTTCAGGAGGATTTGATGTTGCCCGTTCTGGCCCCCGGCAAACATTTGACTATGGTCCCTGGTGTCTTTAGTGCCACGTTTCTGACTATGGAGCTGCCAATCACCAGAGTGGGCTTCTAAGTGGGTGTGTCACTGAGTGGGGAAAACCGGTTAGAAACGTGAACGGGTTGGTGGTGACCA